ACAGCACCCATCATGCCTGGGAGAGAAGATAGAAGTGGGAAGTGCAGAGGTGGCTCAATGCATTTTTTTTTAACTCCTGACTACATAAAGTGCCTACATTGACCTACATAAAGTGCCTACAGCATGCTTTTTGTGGTAGAAGCAAGTAATTGAAATAAATACCTGCTATTTAAATATCCCTTTATTTAAACAAAAGGAAGCAAATCTGCAATGAACAAGACCCTGTATCTGAAGGCAGGCTCCCAGCCTGTGCCTCTGTCTGTCCCATTGTCGGTTAGAGAATTCTCAGAGAGTGCACAGGGTTTATGGACAAAGCAGAAATTGAGGATTTGTTTAATTAGAGATGTCATTATAAAAGCACTTACTAATCTCTGCTGCCATTCTGTTCTAAAATTGCAGTGTAATCAGCTGGCACCTTTACCCTCCTTACTGCTAGTTTTGTGTATAACTGGCTATAGCAAAAGAAAAAAAAACAACAGGGAATACCAAGGAAAATGATGCATTATTTAGAAAATAGCAAATTATGCCTTATAGGGAAGAAGAAATGGAAGATCATCTCTCTGCTGGATCCAATAGGGATTACTTTTTTTTTCTTAAGTTGCACTCAGAAGATTAAGGGTGTGGTGTATCCATCAAGCTGTACCGTTAAGTCTAGACAAACCAAATGAATTAAAACACAGTTCACATCTGACCAGGAAATAGTAAGAGTATCTTATCAGCATCTCCACATTTAAACATGCCTAAATGGCCAGGTCTCACATACTAGTTTTCAATTCAAGTGGTCTTTTACTTCACTAGAATTTCTAGGACTGAATTTAGTAAGATTTTATTTGAACTATGTTAAATTATCAAATGAAGCTCTTTCTTGTTGCAGCTGTCCATTTAAATATTTTGTAATAAGGAAAACACTTTACAACCACAGAAACCTGAAAGACTCATCAATGTTTTTGGAAAAGAGAGAGAAACTCCAGAAGGTACTTTATTTTGCATATCTTCTTGGGGTAGCTAAATAGAGATCATCACATCTTTAAGCCACTTGCTACTGGATCAAAACTTACATGTCTGGAGGTATTCAGTTAAGGGAGCAGTTATTATATTGTTGTTTGAAGAACGATCAAAAATGTCTCTAGATGACAGCAGACTACAATACTGTTTTCATTATTTTTCTTTACTTAGAAAACAGAGTAAGACAGGGATAAATACACATTTTCACAATACAGGAAGGAAACAAAAGTGCTCTACAGCTAGAAAGAGAGGTCTGAGCTAGTTTTATGCAGACTGTTTATACGATAAAGCAGTGAAAGCTCTTCTGACGTTGGCAACAAACGCAGGAAAATTGTTAGTTTCTCTCACTTTGAGCTGGAACTCTGCTATACAGTCCAGAGCAGGAGTACAGGAAGTCACTAAAATGACAAAAATTTCCAAAAGATGAGACTTATTAAAAAAAAATATTAGTGTTTTCCCATGCTTCTGAAATACTAATGTAGTTTGTTATCTTTTTATGTTTTAGCTTCCACAAGTATTATTTTTGAGTAGCCTCATTTTCTGTCAGCAAGGACAAAGCCTCAAAATCACAAGTTTTTTTGTTTTCCTGACTTCCCACTCAGTGCTGTGCTCCTACGTGAATTGTTACAGCAATTCCAAGTAATCCATAGCCTGGTCAAAAACTGAAACACATTCCTAAATAGTTTTGTTGCTCTGCCAGCAAGCAGATTGTAAACTGATGTAACCCAGTATGTGACGTACTTTTAACTTCAAAAGTTTAAATTTGAATTAGTAAAACCAGAAATCTATTCAGTCCATACCTAAAAGCCCCAATAGCATCTATCTAGACGCTCTGCAGCACAGCACTTAAATTATTCATAACTGAAGTAAGATCCATATTGCAAAACAAGCTTTAAGATCTGAAATGCTGTATCCTTACGAAAATCCAGATTGCTGGATTTCAAGTTTTATTCTTTTACCTATGTCACCCTGTAAGGGTTTCTCTGCCCTCTAGGCTTCTCAAATGAAGTTGAAATATGCCTGTCAGCACAGACACTGACTCTAGCATAAACAAACTACAAAATGAAGCATCCTTATCTCTGTATATCCTCTCTCTCCCGCTTTGCTTGATAAGAAGTAAACAGCATCTCCAAAATGGAGAGTGAAGATAAGCAGTTATATTTTCATGTAAGTTAAGACAAACATAATTAAATAAACTATATTACCATTGCAATATTTTTCACTCAAAAATTGGAAGATAAAGGTTACAACTAAACTGCACTTTGCTCCTCTCCACTTTTTTCAAATAGAGGCATCAGATTCAGTCCTCTTGTGTACGTATTCAAAACTCACATACCTTCATAATCTCCTTGTTCATTTATGGAAAGGGTAAACGTGTATGGCTTGTCAGGATCTTTGTGGTCAATGTGTCTGAATATAAACTGTAATTGGTTATCTAAAACAAACACAAGCAGAATTAATTAACACCATTAACCTCTGCTGGAGAGTCACAATGAAAACTAAAAATCACAATATGAAGTTAGTTTCAATTAATATTCTTAGAACATTTATAAATTAGGGAACCCTGGTCTCTTTGAAAGACAAATGCATTTCAACATATTTTGCCATTTGAGAAACAATGGTAATGCCTGGGCTCAGACAATTCATCAGGTGTGTACGCTGGTTCTTCACTGCACAATCCAGCATTGACCACATTGGATCAGTGCACACGGGAACTACAGAAACTACAGCAACTTACTGTGAATTCTGCGTATCTCCAATCCAAGACACTCCTCAAACAACACTTTAGACTTGCACAGTCGCTCCATTTTCTCCTTGACAGCTTTGTCTTTAGAAGACGTTACTAGAATTTTAAAATCCACCATAAGTATCAAAGGCAAAACAAGCACATGAAAAATATTTAGAACAGTAGAAAAGCCCTAAAGAACAACTGTTGAAAACAACTCCTCCTTCAATTAAAAAAATTTCCTTATTATCCGTTGCTTACTTACTTTCCATTTGCTTCACCAACTCTTCTTTTAACTCTTGGATGCTGTCAGTCAAGTTCTTCTGTTGCTCTGCTTCTTGATTTAGCTTAATTTCTGCCAACTGCTCTTCCTTTTCTGATATACATTTGCTCTGCTGGAGAACCTCTGAAAGGAGGCAAGAAAATATGAACACATACAGTTGATTAAGTAGGCCCCTGCTATTTAATACTTAAGTAATTTGAGATGATTTATTTGAATAAAATGTTGTGAAATGCATTCTATCTCGGCTGCGAAGAGAAGTCAGCATAATTACACTGAGTATCAAATAAAGTTTAGAGTGAAAGTTACTCCTGAGAGAAGCTACAAAGTAGGGAGCTGTGATACTTCAATCAGATGCGATGTTTTCTGGTGCCAACACTAGACATCTTCACAGCCTGAAGACAGTGGATCCTCTCCACAAATAATTTGACAGAAAGCGAAGAATGGACACACTGACTGATATTAGAGTTGCAATAATATTTACCTGATATTCTGAAGTTTAACTACAAAATTCAGAGAAGTTAACCCTGAACTGATGAGCTGACAGTGTTCTCTTACTAATATGGAAAAGGCATAAGTAACCTCACAATATTTAACTTTACTAAACAATTTAATTAACTTTTTCTATTGAAGTCAGCAAGTTTTGGTACTTTGTTGTTTTAAATACTTAAGCACCAAAATCACTATGCAGAAAACTGACTTATCTTTTTGCACTATCAATGAAGTTTTTCAACAAATTTCTTTTGAATTGAAATTTACATCCTGTAACCAACCAAATATGTTTGGTTTTAACTCTATCTTCATTCTGATGTTACTATTTACCTTTTGAAATGTGAAGTTAAATATACTATTCAGGTGTATTTAGGTAATTTTAGAAATGTTAGACAATAAATAAAACACCGTACTGTACCATTGTTATACTCCTGAATTTTGTCAATCATCAGGTCTCCTTCTTTCAGCTTCTTGGACCATTTCGCTGTAATGGAAAGTTACTTTAGTTATCTGAAGAAGTTTGATGATAACTTGCAAAACGTAGAGGTAAAAGGAACATAGAGCCTTTTTACCTGAAAGCACGTCTATAGACCCCTTGCACGAATCTCTCAGTGTTAAAGTCTGATTGATCTGTTCAGTGCCATAAACGCTTTTAAACTCGATCCAAAACTCTTTCATATCTCTTTCAAAGAGAGTTATTTCATCTTCTGTCTTTGCATTAGCCATGGTGCTGTAACACACCTGTCAGTGAACAGACAGCGTCAGGACACGGGAGGTAGTGCCAGCGGGTGTAACTCACGGAATAAACCCTCGGAGCCGCTTTGGTCCCTTTGCCTTGTTGAAACCTCTTCCCGCAAGTTGGGGTTTTTTTTGTCACCACTGGCTCAGCGGGAGCCGCGTTCCCCTCTCTCCTCTCCCGGCGCTCAGATGCTGCGCTAGGGGAGGCCCCGCCAGGGTTCCGGCGGCACCGCGGCCGCTGCAGCCGGGGCGCCCCCGCCCCTTCGCCGTCCCCCCGCGAGCTGGCACCGAGCCGGGGGCGGGGCCGGCTCCCCACACCAGCAGCCCGGGCCAGGGGTCGGACCGGGCGCTCCCTCGCTCTGGCCCCACCGAGCCCCGCACCCGCCCGGACCCACCGCGTTCAAACCCCGCCGCCTTCCCACCGCCAACGGTCCGCGCGGCCCGCCCCGCAACAACCGCGCCGCTCATTGGCCCAGCCCCGCCGGGGCCCGCCCGCGCCGTTGCTGCGGTAACGCAGCGCGCGCGGGGCGGGGTCGCCGGGAGGGGCGGAGCCGGGAGCGGGGAGGGGCGGAGCGGAGCGGAGCGGGGAGCCGGGAGCCGGGAGCGGGGAGCCGGGAGCCGGGAGC